GTCAATGGATTGAGAAGAAGGCTAGCAGTACATCAATGTAGACAAAATACTTGAGAAAAGAATTATACTGACCTCTAATTCTCTTAAGTTTGTAATATCCAACTCTTTTAAAAGTAATTCATAAGGAATAAACTGAAAAAAATGTTTGAATATTAATTTAATGATATTAAAGAATCATAACCACCCGCCGTACCACCTTGCGAACCGAAGCGCCATGATTTTAGGTGGACATGAAAATGGCGGATTTGTATGATTTCTTAAAGTGAGCGCCAATCGTCTTCCGTCCTTTCAGTTTGGACAGAAATACATTTAACTAAGTACCTCACAGGTACATGTACTATCAATCTATATAATTTATTGTATGCTTGACGCATTTACAATAATGCAAGCGTGCAAGGTACGACGGGTGGTTATGATTCTTTAAAAAACTAAAATATAAAGTGTGCATTTCATGTGAATAAGATCAAATGTGCAATGAGAAACTAAGTTCAACGCAAAGAATACTCCTCTCTAAAGACCAAACAAACTTGACAGAAATAAAAAAAAAACAATTCAATGGTAAAATGGTTGCAGTTAGTTTGTTTGTGAAGGAGCTCTCTCAAAAGCAGTTTGATAGTTCCAGGACTTTTTTTGACAGGTATAAACAGCAATCAGATTATAATAGCAATGGTTATTTTAATAATTATTAACTAATAATTATGATATGTCAGTTGACTTCAGTTGTACCTTGCTTAATTATCAATTATTAAAATTAATTGCATTAAAGAAAACTTTGAACTCATTGATACCTTAGACTTRGCTGATAAAGACACTACTGTAAGATGTCTTAACTTTTTCTGCTGAAGAGGACTTAGTTCAGGTAACGTTGAAGAATTGGCTGAAAAACAAAAATAAATTCACATAATCATATGATCAATGTTCAAAAATCCAAGCATCATTCTGGTCTCTGAAATGTGTATTTAGTACACTATACTATCATAATATCTTTACATGGGCTTCCYGTGGAAGGCTACGTCTAAAAAAGCTAGTGGACTTTTTTTCTCTTTGTGAATATTGTACCTCAAAGTGGTAGCATCTGCGTTGCAGATGGTCTGCAGTGTCTTAGTTTCAATGGGGTTTATCAAACTAAACTAATCCGCGCTTTGTTGTTATTTTTGACATGTATTGTTTTGTATGTCAGTCGGCCTCGTGACCTGATCGTGATATCTAYGGCTTCACTGTAACCAGCTGGTTTGTTTATAAGCCATGAATGTAAATCATATGACAAAACCAAAGGCTGCGCAGGAGTACTTTATAGTTCAGTTCAGTAAAAAATTAAGATGTAATATAGATGTAAATTGACTTAATTCTGTAACTTGAATTATTTCAAACAAAGACTGTATAGTGAAAATGAAATACTTTTAGCTGAATGGTGTCAGCTGACAATTGTCSCAGCTATACAGGAAGCCCACGTACGTCATCTATGATCATCTAGTATTATTATGTCTTCTCACCTTTGTAATCACTGTAAGTACCAAAAGCAAAGATATTTAGTAAATGCCAATAAGGTGCATGTTCTGTTTTTGAAAGCTGTAACAAAAAAAAAGGAAATAAGATTTATATTGATGTGGGAATTTCAGATCTTTTTAATGAAAATCAGAACCTATTGAGACAAAGGGTGTCAATCTTCTGCTACTGCAGTGATTTCTGGGAGCAAAGAATGATCAACAAAAGGTTGTCCAAGGGTCCATCATCACAGGATTTGTGCAACATTTTCACTACAAAATTCCAGAGGGCTATTTAAGTACTTTTAAAGCACAAAAATGTGATTTTCAAGGAGTAGTTTTGAAGATGTTTTTTGATGTTTGTGTATGCTTCCAGTGGTGATTTTCAAGATAGCCACATTTAAAGCCAATCGGAAAAAAGCAACAAGCAAAATCAACATGTTAATTTCATTAAATCCAAGGAGTCTTCCAGGAGTTTTTCCCATTTCCGAGTTTTCAATTCCAGAATTTTTCAAGGATTTCAAGGAGTAACGTGAACCATGTCACCAGGTTACGATTGTACAAAGGCCATACTAGTAGTACAATCACAACCTAAATCCTTCCCATTAGACAAAATCCATATGATATCTATAGATYGAGTGGATGATTTCCCATGACCACCAATAGGCAAATGATATTGTTCAAGGTAGACATTTCCCTTTATTTTRGATGTCCATAGACTTTTGCCAAGCTTTAGTCATTTTCGCGGTTAGAAAGGGCCCCGCAGTTTTGCGCCAAAGCGAAGCAGAATCGTGCAACAAGCAAAAAATTTTCCTTTTTGAGCTTATAATTTTGACATGACTTGTCACACTTGTTCATTTGAGGTCTGCTGCATGGAAACATGTTGCCCGCTTTAATTGGTTTAATTTTTTTTTTATCTTTTAAACGCTGTAATACCATGATCACCTCGGATTCTTTTGTCTTCCGAGGGATGTTTACAAGCGAACATTCCTCCCTCATGAATGGCATGAGTGACGATTACTTGTAATCGTCCCTCATGCATAATAACATGAGGGACGATTAGACTAATCGTCCCTCATGTTATTCATGAGGAACGGAAGGCAAAGGAAACCTTTGCTTCCCAGCAGGGACAACTGAATGTCCCCACAGCTGTCTTCTTTTTACCTCTGCAATGAACGGTCTCGTTATCGTCTCAGTCACACTGAAATGTGGGATGATTTTTGGGACAAATTGACCGAGTAGCTCTGGTTCCGAGTATCTACTTCGTAATCTCCCTCAGAGCCATGCTATTACTTATAATGATATCATATTTACCTCCTGAACATTGTTCATTTCTAATAATTCTCCAAAAACATGTACTCCTGGTGCTTCCAGCACTTGTTTTATGAGCGCAGTTAATGCAGCACCTYTAGTAGACTTGGCCAACAACACATATTGCTCCAACTGGTGACTATGTCCCTTGGAGTCTTTCTCTGTCATACTGTACGGGAAGATTGCACTATAATAAACAAATAGCAGGCTGGTATTTATCAGTGCAATAAATAYTGAACTCTTACATTTATAATAATACAGAAATGATCGTAAAAATAAGCTATCCCGATATAAAAAACATTCAGGAATGCTATCCATTTTCACTGTTATATATGAAAAGACTGCATATTTTAAAATTGAAACGATTTTGAGATGATAGATATCGACCATATAATCAATGATTTGCACTGTTAGTGTTATAAAACAAAAATAAATTCAAGCTAGCATAATTTTTTACCTTTTTTTGATTTCTTGCTTTCAAATTTCGTCTGCTGCCAGACAGCTTGTTAGCCAGGCCTTGTCCCTAATATATGAYGGCCTCAATAAGGAATTATAATAATGTACCCTAGACCTTATAGAAATGTTTTACAAGAAAAAACACATTTCGAAATACTTTAGAACTTTTATTTCTAATTATTTGYAAAGTCAGTCTTTTAAARCAMTGAAATTGAGTTATACAGCCAAGTACGAATTTCAAGAAAATAAGCCCCCAATTATTTAGTCCCTTTGGGCCTTTCCGTCCAGCGGTCATTCGCCACATAGAACAACAAATTGGGCAAGAAGCATTGCAATAACTTCAATAATTTTACTAATTTTGTTTTGTTTATGGCGAATCCCAAGCGGATTCATTCATCAGCTTCTGCCAGACTAAGGCAGGATTATTTAAGAATCGCCCGAGATCCAGTACCGTACATAACAGCCTGCCCTTTGCCTTCAAATATYCTCGAATGGTGAGACCGAAATTTATTCGAATTGTTTTTGTCACTGAATTGAATAGCTCTTYTTTACCGATAWATAAATTGGTTGCATTGAAGTAAGACTTGATRTAATTTTATGTGTATTTTAGGCATTATGTTGTACGAGGACCTGAAAACACACCATATGAAGGTATGTTTTTCGAATGATTATTTCGTAATTGAGAACTAAAATAAATACATCGATATAAAATAAGCTTACTTACATTTTATTAAGCTTATCTACATAAACTAAATGCAAAACTATAACTGTATTATTCACTTGTTTTTGACTGGTCCAGGACTACTAAACAACTCTCCATAGGCTAACATCATCATGCTACAAATTTTGACCGATATTTTTCCTAAAACGCTTTTTATTACCGATCACAGTGTCTGTGTTTATAACCGGATCTCAATCAGTCAAATTGTATGTGAGTCAGCATTACCTCGATAATAACATCCCGATATAATTGGATGGAATAATYGATACTCACAGCTAACTAGGTAATTCATTTTTATCGTTTTTGTTGACTGATCATTGAATTAGTTTTAATTTTAATATCAAATGATACATATCAGCTGAAATGGATGGTAAGTCATTTGATACCCCAGTCCCACAACCCACCAGGAGGGCCAAGTAATTAACTCATTGTAGCCAGGAATTTAACACCGTTAATAGCACAACCAAAGCATAGTTAATAAAGGAAAGGAAATGATCTGTTTAGCCACTGTTTTTTGGCTGTATATGTTAATTCCCCTGCTATTTTCACTTTTTACTTTATTTTACACACTTGCGCATGCCGATGGAATTGGTTGTTTAAATGTTTCATGTCATAATGAGGCTATCATATTTTAACCAGCCAGTGATCTAGGATTTCAGAATATTTCCCAATCATGTTATTAGCCAATCATCTTGGGCATCTTAATGTCTGTCMATCAGGTTGCGTGGTCAGTCATCTACATGTTGTGTATCTCATTAATTGTCTTTCAATCATGTTTAAGGCCAGTTAATCCAGGCCATTCACATCTGTCAATCATCTGTTTTGTAGCTTCAGTCAACAATATACGTATGATACACGTTGATCAATACTTTAATTGATCGATTTKATTGGTTGTTAGGTGGATTTTATCATGGTAAACTAGTCTTTCCCAAAGACTTTCCTTTCAAACCCCCAAGAATATTTATGATCACACCAAATGGCAGATTTAAAGTCAACACAAGGTAGAAAGTTTATTGTAGTACTACATGTAGCAATCATATTTCAAAGAAAAATTTCATACATTATTAATGTATGTCAAATGTTACATTTTAATTCAATTCAATTGAATTTCAGTTTTATTTTACAATATACAAACATAATTGCAAAATATTACACATAAAAAAAACACCATAACACAGCACAGCTATAATCTAGGTGGGTTAGTGTTACGGTTCCCAGTGCCATCTTGAAAGGTAACCAAGACTTTGTACCAATAAGCAAGACAGCAGTACAGAGCTTGCAATGATTGATAACTGTAGRTGTGGACAAAAGGTATCTATCATTGCAGGCTCAACCACTGCCTTTGATGCAAAGGMTATTGTTGGCTATCTTTCAAGATTTCACTTTATAAAACTGTTAAGTGATGTATTGTTCTATAACATTAGGAATTATTATATGAATTTCAAATTCTAATGCCTGTTGTCCTTCATCATGAATAATGATGTTTGTTTGTTTTGTAGGCTGTGTTTGTCAATAAGTGACTTTCACCCAGACACATGGAATCCAGCTTGGTCAGTCTCAACCATCCTTACTGGACTCTTAAGCTTTATGGTAAGTCAACTGATGAATACAAAACAATGCACACTAAATTAAATAATCAAGTAACCTGTGTTGTTACATCTCATGATTCAAAGTATAAAGTGAGAGCAAGATAAATTGTTCTGTCATTAATTTTCTTGCTCTCATTTTGTAACAAAATATGAAATTGTTATTTTTATACTAAAATTTATAAATAATATTTTTTTTAAAGAATGAAACAGCACCAACGCTTGGCAGTGTCGAGACATCAGAATATCAGGTACTAATAAATGGTATTTGTAAAATAAATAACCCCCAATTGACCCCCAAGTCTCCTGTATGACCCCCAAGTCTCCTCTATGACCCCCAAGTCTCCTCTATGAGTTTCCCTTCTCCACTTCCCTTCAAGCAGGTTACAACACAAACTTGATGAGAGTTACAAATGTCAATGGCAAAGATATTGCAGACTTAGTACATGTACTTCAAGTTGTTATAATTTTCCTTAATAATTCGCCTTCCCATGTTGCATGGAGTATAAGGCTTCAGTTGAACATCCCTGTAGCCCTCTCTACRCCTTTTCTTGCCTCCCCACATGATTTCCAACTCCCTTTCATCATTTCCTACTCATTGTTATTAGTCAGGTCTGCACTACAWGCCTTCTACCTTTACAACACTAAGCTATTTCTTGACTTGAAATACTTCATTACTCATTCTCCATCTTTAGTCTCCWTGCAGCTCTGTTTAGTTTTGGTCACATGTATCACAATGTGACGTGTGACTAAAATGAAACACTGCTTTATCTTGCTATCTGCCTATACTCACATGCAATTTTTTATTGACACTTACACGATCAAAAGAAATTATCTCTTTTACAAGCTTAATCTTATTCTTTCTGGTGTATTTCCTTCCAGAAAAGACAGTTTGCATATGCTAGTGGTCCATTTAACCTACAAGACAGAATATTTTGTGAATTATTCCCTAATATTGTGGAAGTAAGTTTGTTTTAGTAATGAAAAGTTTTTTTCAATTTAAAGTGCATGTTTTTGGTACATTTTAGAAAATCACTGAATCATCAATC